TGCACATTCCTCAATCAGTAAGACTGATTTGACAAAAGGCAACAGGATCACTATTGCTATTTCAATAGTCCTCCACAGGCTCCATCTCACTCAGGCTCATTCGCTCTCCTGAACTGTGGAACGAGTAACCTGGAGAGAGAGAGGGAGACAGGGAGACAGAGAGGGAGGGGGAGAGGGGTGGACAAGAGGAGAAAAAGAATGAAAAAAATAGACATGACTTATTGTGGCAGCTGTATATATACAGCTACAGGCACTGGCCAAAACATTAGGACTCCCCCAGTCTAATGGACAGACTTGGTGCGCAGGGCAACATGTGGTTGGGCTTGGAGTCCAGGAGGGAAGAGGTCTCACCTCCCAAGGCAGGAACAATCCCCACCCAAACCAGATCTTAACTGAATGTCATCCTACCAAAACACCTGCGGCCTCATCCCGCTCTGTTATATCAGGAAATTTAGAATGTCTTGCTGCTCACAGACGTCCAAAGCATAACTCAAGCAGGGGGTTCTAATATATCAACCAATGAGTCTCTCTAATATACTAGGACTGCAGTGCCCCCCTGTCTGAATAACATCTGGTCTGCAGTACTTCAGTGTGTATGGTGCCTTACTGCAGTGCCCCCTTGTGGCATCAGGGCCTGCAGTACCTCAGTTTAGTCTTACTGAAGGGGCCATGTGGGCCCCAATCCTAACAGACTGGGGCCACAGCAGCCCAGAGTGTACGGTGTAGCACATGGGCGGGGCGCAACAGTAGGCACTGTACCCAATATACTGGGGTCGGAGTGAAGCATCATGGTTTGCTTCTTCTTCATCTTGCTGGCCTGGCTGCCGTCGTACACCCCCGCCTTCCCGCTGTGAGCCGACTGAAACATGGACTGAAGACTGCTAGGGTTGAGACTGCGCATAGCATCCTGCAGAGGGAGAGGCAGGGGGGGCGCGCAGAGGAGCAGAAAGAGAGGGTGAGATGGGAGAGCTGTCAACACCCACTACACAAAAAGAAGTACACAGAACTAAAAGGGAAAACAGAGCACAAGAAAACCAGAGAGAAATAGCAGCAATACCTGTAGAGGGAAGTTCATGGTCAGTCCTGCCACTTCTTTAGATAGCTGCAGAAACAGGATACAAGAGGGGTCAGCACAGGGAGGTGCGGACACAATAACCGCCCCCACCAGGAGCAAGATGGCCGAGAATCACCAGCACAGACCCAGTCTGCAATACAGCAGGCCTTAAAAACCGCTGACAATTCTGTAAGCCTTCACCGCTGCAGAGCTGGGAATCGGGGCGCGACTGGAACCCCTTCCTCAGCCCTCGCTGGGGGCGGGCGAGTGGGTTTAACGACTTCTGTTCCGCTGAACATACGGCCTGCCCACCTGCTGCTGCTGTCTGTGGTGATTGGCTTTCTGTTTGGCACGGCGCTCCAGGAACTGTTTGGCGAACTCTTTGGCTTCCACGGTGTCTCCCAGGTAGGAGCGGATGAAGTCGTGGACCTCGTACGGAGACTCCACCTCCTTCAGGTAGGACACGATGGTGGGGACTGGAGAAGAGGATTTCACACGTATGAGGGGCAGAGAGAAAGAGTTTGAAGGCAGCAGAGTCTGACAGAGAGGGGGAGCGGAAGCGTTACCGTCGGGGGAGGAGGAGTTGTTGGAGGAGGTATTGAGTGCGTGCAGCATCTGCTCGCACCAAGTAGTGAACCCGTCCTGCGGCTGCGGCTTCATGCCCTGCAATAACTTGAGCAGCTTCTCCTCCTCCTCTGTGCGCTTCCTTCTGTTCATCACGTACTGGTCGCTGCATGGGAGAGAGAGCCGAGCACCGTGACTTTACCGGCACCTTGGGCAGTACACTATCAATCGCACCGATACACCGTCACTCTCGGCAGCACACTATCAATCACACCAATACACCGTCACTCTCGGCAGCACACTGTCACCCCCGGCAGGACACTATCACTGGCACCAATACACCGACACTCTCGCCAGCACACTGACAGTCTCACCGATACACCTCTCGTCAGCACACCATCACTCTCCGATATATCAGAACTCTCGTTGATACACCGTCAATTTTGGCAGTACACCATCACTCTGATCGATATATCATCATCTCTCGTCAGTACAC